CAGTGTCCAAACCCTGCTCTCCTCACCCAGGGGGGCCCTCTGCACCCCTGGGGAGCCCCCCACGGTGTCAGCCACCTCAGTGGGGCTGTGGGGGGCTCAGTCATGGGGAGATGGGCACCCTGGGCAGGCAGGAGTTGGCCCTGTGCCTCCATCCCATCCCCCTCCACCCGGGGAGGAAGCAGCAGTTATTGCTCTTGGAGACAGTGGTGGCTTTCCTTTTTATAGAGTTTTTTTTCCCTCCTCTATTTTATTTCCCTTCGTTTTATAAAAAGCACCTGACCGCAGGAGGCAGCTGCCTGCAGCCCACACACCCACTGGCACCCGGCTGGGCACCGGACCCTGCAGCATCCAGGACCCCCAGGGACCCCCCAGCATCCTGGCTGGGCAAGGGCGGGGCTGTGTCCTCACATCAGGACCCCCAGTTCGGGGGGCACTGCAGCCTCAGGGAGGGGGGTCCACCCTCACCCATCGCTTCTGCCCAAGCACCACTGAACCACAGATCAGCATGGCCAGGACTGTCACCCAGCCTAGGGGTGCCTGGTCCCCCCACCTGTAGGCTGTGCCCCCCCTCCAATGGCTCCGAACACCCCAGAATCCCACTAGGCAGGATGGAGCCAAGGCGGGGATACAGCCCCTGGCGTGGCTGGGACCCCCACCATAGGGGTCTGTGCCTGTGCCAGCTGTGGGAAGTGGGGGGACCGCCATGGCCACCCCAGGCCACGCCATGGGGCTCAACTCCTGCCTCTCCAATTGCCCCGAGTTGGCTGGGAGCTGCAAACAAACATCCTCCGGACGTTTGGGAAGAGCCTAATTGCCAGGGAAGGAAGGGCTGCAGGCGGGTCCTGCTCCAGGGCTCTTGCTCCCACCCAGGTGCAGCGGGACAAGCCACATCCCCCCCTGTGCCTCAGATTCCCACGGGTGCAGGTGCGAGAGCCCCCAGACCCTGCTGAGTCACCCCATTTTCCCAAGCGGCTGGAGCAGAAGGGAGCCCCCGCCCAAGTGGGGCCCCAAATTTAAACAAGCCACCTACAAGCTCACCAGGGAGACATCAAGACCACCAATATCCCCAGTTGTGGGAGACAGGCTGTCCCCAGCATGTCCTGTGCTGGAGTGGGGTGAAGAGGCAAGCAAGTCTGGCATGATCTGGGGCCAAATCAGCATTATTGGGAAATGAGGGCCCCATGAGAGGCTGCGCCCGGAGGCCACGTGTCACCCTGGGCACCCATGGGATGCACCCAGCAGCTCCTGCGCCCCGGCCCAGCTGTTGCACCCCCTGTCCAGGGAGCACAGCCCCTTCTTCCCAACCCTGTTTGTGGGCTGGGTTATAATTAACCTCCTCACATCCTGCGTGATGCTCTGAGTCACTGCCCCAGCAAACCAAAGAAAAAGCAGCTTTTTCAAGAGTCACTGACTTCCTCTGCCAGCGAGGCTTTGCCCCGTGCCACCGGCACAGCTGGCACCCCAAAACCCAGCCCTGCTGCCCAAAACACAGCCGGGAACAGGGTTGCTCGGCTGTGGGCACATCCCTCTCTCTGGGTGACACTACCCCAAGAGTCATACTAAGGCTACCCCAAAAGCCATGCCAGGACTTCCCAGGGTTCAGACCCCCGGTGTAGGTCGTGTGATCCTGGTGTTGGCGGCAGCCCGACTTAGCCTGTGCCCGGCACAAGGAGCCCGTTGAACAATCCTGTTTATAGAGAGGTTTTTCCTTTGCGTCTACGCAAGGAGAGTCCCCGAAGCGGCTCCGGAGCAGCGGGGGTTCAAAGAGCCGATTCTTGTCCTGCGCGTCCCGGGACACTGGGATTTTCCAGGCCGGTGGCCAGCCGGTTGCCTCGGTGGGTGGCACATCTGCCATCAAAGGCCAGCCGTGCCTGGAAGGGGCCGGTGGCAGCTTGGGGACCAGCGGGGGCTGGGGTGGGCACCTTACTCCCCAGGATGTACCCGGGCACGGAGGGTGCCAGCTGCCCCTCCGGTATCGCCCACCCTAGGCCCTCAGCACCCTCCTCACCCCCACCTTGCAACAACAGCAGATCGAGTGGGGTGACACGGCAGTGCTCAGACTGGGTCACTTCGCCCCCAGCCGGTGCCCAGTGACGGGGCCGCGGGGGACACACACGCACCTCTCCTCCCCACCAGCCCAGGGAAAGTCTCAGCGTTACCCGCGAGTCGTCTCGGTCATGCGAGGGGGGGGACACAGGGTGATCGCCCCGTGGGGGCACAGCACCACCCCCCCGTCCGTCCACCGACCCCCCGGAGTCACCGGCGACTCCTCCCGGGTCGGCTTCTCCCCACCCCCCCGGGGCTTCATGGATGAAGGAATCCAGTCGCCCCTCAGTTCATGCGCGGGGGGAACTTCCCCCGCCGCCAGCTCCACGCGCGGGGGGGCCCCCCGCACCTCTCGGTTCACGCATGGGGAGGAACTTCCCGCGCCCCTCAGTCCAGGCGTGGGGGGGACTCCTGCACCCCGCAGTCACCAGCGAGCGGCCGCAGCAGCCGGTACAGCCGCGGGCTCACGCGTGGGGGGACCCCCGCGCCACCCGCTCCACGCGCGGAAGGACCCGCCACGTTCTCGCACTGGAGGGATCCCCTTGCCACCCGGTTCACGCGTGGGGGGATCCCCCCGCCACCCGGTTCACGCGTGGGAGAGACTCCCGCGTCACGCGCGGGGGGTCCCGCCCGGTTCACACCGCGGGATCTTCTCGCCACCCGCTCCACTTGCGGGGCGACTCAGCCGCTCCACGCCTGGGGGGCATCCTCCCGCCACCCGCTCCACGTTTGGGGGGGGCCTCCCGCGCCCCGCACTCACCGGCGAGCAGGGAGAGCGGCAGCACCAGCCAGTAGAGCCCCGCTAAAAACACCCGCAGCTGCATCCCGTCCGGCGGCGGCGGCGGGGGACCGGCCCGAGCCGCTCCGAGCCGTTCCGCCCCGCCGGGGCTGGGCAGGCCCCGCTGCCCGGTGCCGGTGCCGCTGCCCGGTCCCGCGGCGCTCCGAGGCGCTGCCCCCGCCCCGCGCCCGCCGCTTTATAAAGCGGCACCGCCCGCCCCCCCCGCGGGGCCGGCGCGGCCCCAGCGCCTCCCGCCGGCACCGCGCCCGCCACTGCTGACACGAGTGGGCCGCGCTCAGCACCGGCCCCGCTGCCTCCTGGGTCCCGGGGAAAAATATCAAGCTAAAAAAAATAATAATAAAAAAAAAGCTGATGTGTTTCCTGTTTATTTTGTAAAGAAGAGAAAAAAAAAAAAAAAAAAAAAAAAAAAGAAAAAGAAGAAGAAGCCGGAGCTAATTTTTGCCGAATTTTTGTTCTGGGTGCTCCAGGGCTGAGAGCTGCTGTACGGGAGTGAGGAGCTCCCAAGTGCTCCCCTAGGAGCTGAGGTGCACCCCTGGAGCTGGGTGCTGTGTCCCTGGAACTGGGTGAATGATCCTATATCCCTGGACCTGGGGGCATGATCCTATACCCCTGGAGCTGGATGCACAGTCCCATGTCCCCGGAGCTGGGTGCCCACTGCACACCCTGGGGACCCAGACACAGCCCCACACACCCATGGAGTTGGGAGCCCAGGTGAGGGGAGTTGGGGTCACATACCTCAGGAGCTGGGAGCTGTGCTCACCTCTGCATCTCGAGCTGAGTTCCAGTGGGGCGCTGGGCACAGCTGGTGGCATGGACAGCATGGCCGGTGACATAGGCAGCACCTGGCAGTGCTGGTAACCACCAGCCCCTAACAGGAACCATCAACCCGTGAAATTCTCCACATTCCTTGGCTTCCCCGGGCTTGTTTTCCCTACACAGTTAATAAACTGGCGTCCAGCTGGCACACTGCTGGCCTGGTCCCCACACTCATCCCTGAATTTCTTCCAGAATTCCAGGGGCTCTTCCCCCCCCAGATGTGCCCAAGCCCCAGCCATCTGGACACCTCTGCCCATGCCATAACTCCCCAAAACGTGGGCAGGATGGGGCTGAGGGCCCACAAATGCATGTGTCCGTGGGTTTGGCAGGCACAGCCTCTCGTGGGAGCTGGGGTGGGCTGTACCTGTCCAAACTACCCTGAGCATCCATCCTCATTTCTGGGACCTGGAGGGATCCAGTTGTGTTAATTAAACACTTGTCATGGCCAAGACGTGAAGTTCACCGTGTCCGTGAGACCTAGATATGGGAGTTACCATTGCAACCCTCCAGTGCATCCCCCCACCCAGAACAGATCCAGGAAAGGGTGGTGCATGCCAACCCAGCTCCCAACCCAACCCTAAGCACCCGCAGCCAGGCTGGGAATGGAGCTTCTGGAAGTAAATGGGCACTGGGAATGGCACCCCAGAGCCCTGCCTCGCTCAGCCAAATCCGGCCTTGCTCAGGTTTTAAGGGAGATGCTGGAGACACTGCGGTTCTGTAATGTGCTGCGGGCACACCCTGAGTGCCCAGGCAGGCAGTGGGGTGATGGGCCAGAGCCTGCTCCCACTCCTGGGTACTGCCAACAGCACACAGCCACAGCGTGGGGACCGGAATGATGGTAGGGGGATGTTGCGGGTGCCTCCAGAGCCCCTCATTCCCATGGCTGGTCCCTAGAGGGACCTCATGCCACCATGGAGTTCATAACAGAAGCCAGGCAAGGCTTGGCCCCATGCACATCGAGGAAAGCAGATTTGGAGTGACCAACATTCCAGATGTTATTTCCCTGCTTTTGCCCTGCTTTTACCCCACTCTCCCCCTGCTGAGGGTCCCCTCAGCTTGCAGTCCCCCGCACCAGTGGGAGTGGACAATCTCCATCTCTGCCCTTGGTACATTAGCCGGCTCCTGACTCGGGCGCTGCGGTACCGGGAATGTCGGACCCCGCTCCCCCGGAGCTGTCCCGACCGCCCTCGCAGCCGCGCAGGCCGCTCGGGCCCCACGTGCGGCCCCGCTCCGGGAGACGCGGCGCCTTTAAGAGCCCAGTGGCGCCAATTCCGTCCCACGTGACCGCCACCGGCCGCCCCGGTGGGCGGGGCTTCGGCGCGCGGGCTCCCGCCAAACGAGAACCGCGCGCGGGACCGAACCCGCGTGTCCCCGGGACCGGCACCGGGACCTGGCACCGGGATCGGCACCGGGACCCGGCACCGGGGCCGCCGCCATGGCCCAGCTCCGCATCACCAACTTTTTCGGCCAGACAAAAGCGGCCACCGGAGTCCCGGCCAAACGCGGCGGCGGCCATCGGCTCAAGGCCGCCCTCGCCGGTGCTTCGGTGCCCCGGGAGGAGGAGGATGGTGGTGCCCCGGCGGGGCTCAGTGCCCGCTCGCCGCCGCTGCTCCGGTCACCCCGCACTCCGGCCCGCGGGGACTCCCCGGCCGTGCGGGGGCTGGCGGGCAGGAAGAGGAGCCGCCGGGACATGGAAGCGGAGTCGCCAGTCGGAGCCCGGTTCGGGGAACCGAGCGGGAAGTCGGCGCGGAAGAGGCTGGAGCCACCCCGGGATGCGGAACCGGGGTCTCCGGACGCGGTAGGGAGATGGGGGGGATCGGCGATGGCCGCTTCCTCCGGGACGCGGCTATAAAATGGAGATGGGAGAGGATAAGGGGAGGAGGGAAGTGGGTGGGTGAGGAACTGTAAATCAACAGGCCCCACCAAGAGTTTGACCCCTTTTCTTAGTGCAGGACCCCCAAACCTGCTGCCCCTTGGTGCAGATCTCTCCCTGTCCCCAACCCCAGGCTTGCCCCCTCCCCCTCGTGCAGGACCCTCAGAGTTTGCCCCCCATTCTCCTGATGGAGACTCCCCCCTTATCCTGTCTTGCCCCCTGTACCAAGTGCAGCACTCCCAAAACTTGTCCCCATTCTCTTGATGCAGACCCTTTCCCCCCGACTTGCCCCTGTCCCTAGTGCAGAAACCCCTATGGCTACCCCCCCCGTGCAGGACTTTTGGGGGGCACTGGGGAAAGGGTCCAGATGGGTGGTTTCCCCGGGCAACCTCTAACTCTCCTCTGTCTCTTGCAGGCCACCAACCTCTCTCTGCTGGCTACTGCTCAACCCCTGATACCCTCCTCGCAGGACCTGGCAGTGCCCCTCCCGACCACCCCCAGCTCACAGCAGGACACGGGGACACAGCCTGGCACAGCCTCCCCGGGGACAGCCCGGCGCCTGCAGCGGGTATGGGGTGATCCTGGCTCTTTGCTCCTGTTGGGGCTGGATTTGGTGCTGTGACCTGCTGTGACCCCGTGTCCCCTCCCTACCCAGGAGGACGTGGCCAAGCTGCGGGGCCGCCTGCAGAGGATGAAGGAGCTGGCCCAGCTGCCATCTGTGCCCAGTGGGACCAGCACAGACCTGCGGGGCCGCCTGGAGCGAGTGCGGCAGCTGGAGCTGCGGATCCAGCAGAGGAAAGCGGAAAGTGAAGCCACATCGGGAGCACGGCCATCCAGGGACACTGGAGCAGCAGCTTCTGCGGCAGAGGCCGGGTGAGGAGCAGCCAGGGAGTGATTTTGAGGGAAAATCAAGGTGTCCCAGCAGTTGCCACAGTCCCACAGTGGTTCTGTGGGTGTCTTCCCACCCCATGAGGGGGTGTGGGGATTCTGAGCGTGGCCCAAGCTACCCTGAGCATTAGGATGTCACTGTTTCCAGGTGATGTGACCCTGATGCTGGCACAGGTTGCTGAGGGAAGGGTTTTGGAATGGGAATGGGAGGTGGGTCCCACTATCTGGATTCAGCAGCAGGACCCCCGTCCTGGCCAATGTCTATCTAGAACCTTCTTTCTTTCTTCAGAGAGAAGCCCCCAGCATACCAGCGGTTCCACACCCTTGCTCAGGACCTGCCCCCAGGGCTCACGCTGCCCTACAAGTTCAAGGTGCTGGCAGAGATGTTCCGCAGCTTGGACACCATCGCCGGGATGCTCTTCAACCGCGCCGAGACCATCACCTTTGCCAAGGTCAAGCAGGGGGTGCAGGACATGATGCGCAGGTAAGTCGGCAGCGCTGGGCAGCCTCTTTTGGGGTCCCAGCAGCCCCTTTTGGGGTCCCCAACCTCTCGGGGTGCTGTTGCAGGCAGTTTGAGGAGCGTCACGTGGGGCAGATCAAGGCTGTGTATCCCACCTCGTACCGGCTGCGCCAGGAGAAGAACATTCCCACGTTTGGTGATGGCAGGAAGAAGTCAGACTACCAGCTCACGCTGGAGCCAGTGGTGGGAGAAGGTACATATGGTTTTGGGGTGTCCAAGAGCTGGAGTGTGCTCAGTCCCAGCTAAGATCTCTGAATCCATAGAGATGCTCTGCTTGATCCATTAAATAATCATCTGTAGGCCTGAGCATGTTGAAAATGGGAAATGCTTTTGCGACAAGAGGAAAGATGCAGGGCAGTGATTGTGGCAGTGACTCAGCCCCATGGTGGGACTCTGATCCCATCCTTCCCGAGGCTCCCAAGGTTTGGGGAGGTGCTGTGGGTGATGCTCATGTTCCTCCTTGCAGAGGAGAAGGTGGATGGTCGCCCTCACCTGTCGGCGTCGCGGTTGTTGGAGCGCAGGAAGGAATTCCGTCGGAACCTGGTGAACATCGTCAAGCAGCACCACAAGGTGAGGGGCACCTGGCACCCCCTGCTTTGGGGCCCTGGGGTTGTCACTATCTAGGACAACTAAAGGACAGGCTGAAGGACGTGGCTGGTTCCCATGGGATGTTCTTGGCAGCAGGTGTGGGTGGGCTCTGAGTTCCCTCCATGTGTTGCCAAGCCATGCTGGGAGTGCAGGGCAACAGCCAACTCCCCCATACCTGGTGCCACGACACAGCTCTTGCTCCTCTCCAGGCATTCCTGGCCACTCTCAGCCCTCCCCTGGAGGTGCCAGAGGAGAAGCTGACCCGCTGGCATCCCCGCTTCAATGTGGATGAGGTGCCGGACATCAGCCCTGTGGAGCTGCCGCAGCCGCCGCAGGAGGACAGGCTGAGCACGGCCCAGGAGGTGCTGAGCACAGCTCGGGGGATGCTGAGCCCCAAGGTGAGTCAGGGCTGGCGTCTGGCTTTGTCTGTGCCATCTCTCTGAGAAGATGTGACTGGACAGGGGTTGGGAGGGATTGTTCCAGAGCCACAGGACTGGAGGCAGGTGGGACACAAACCTGGCTGGTGGTGCTGCAGATTGTGGTGCAGGGCTGGTGTCAATGCTGGGAGAGATGATCCAAGGGCTAGAGCTCCTCTGCTCTGGAAACAGGCTGGGAGAGCTGGGGGTGTTCAGCCTGGACAAATGAAGGCTCTGGGGAGACCTTAGAGCCCCTTCAAGTGCCTAAAGGGGTTGCAGGAGAGCTGGAGAGGGACTTTGGACAAGGCCTGGAGTGCCTGGACAAGGGGGAATGGCTCCCCACTACCAGAGGACAGGGTTAGATGGAATATTGGGAAGAAATTCTTCCCTAGGAGGGTGGGGAGGCCTGGCACAGGTTGCCCAGAGAAGCTGTGGCTGCCCCATCCCTGAAAATGTCCAAGGCCAGGTTGGATGGAGCTTGGAGCAACAGGGGATGTGGAAGGTGTCCCTACCCATGGCAGGGGGTAGAACAAGATGGGCTTTAAGGTCTCTTCCAAACCATTCCATGATTCTATGAAGCCCCTCACACTCCTCTGTGCAGACAGGGATGAGCTGGGAGCGCTGGGTTGGGATCGCTGGGCTGAAGGGTGACGGCAGGGGCAGCAGAGGGGAAACTTCTCCTTCCTCCAGCCTGAGCTGTAATCCAACTCCTCCTCCTTCTTCCACATGAGCAGATGGAAAAAGCTCTTGCCAACCTGGCCTTAAGAACAGCCGAAGCCGGTGCGGGGGAACCGGTGCTTTCCAAAGCACCGTCCCCTGCCAGCACCGCCAGCGCTCTCAAAGGGGTGTCCCAGGCGCTGCTCGACAGGGTGAGTAATTTTGTCCTGGATGAAAGGTGGGTGCTGGAGGTGCTGCCTGGGCCTCACCCCATCTCCTCTGCTCCCCAGATCCGGGCAAAGGAGGCGCGGAAGCTGCAGGCGCTGATGACGCGGGACACGCAGCAGGAGGAGCGCGTGGCCATGCTGGGCCGGCTGCCGGCCATGGCCCGAGTCCTGCGCAGCGTCTTTGTGGCTGAGAAGAAGCAGGCGCTGTCCATGGAGGTGGTTTGTGCCCGCCTGGGCGACAGCTACGACGAGCTGATGGCACCTGGTAGGAATTCAGGGGGGGGTCTGTGCAGGGGGAAGGGGCTGGGGAGGCAAGTTCTGACGCCCTGTTCCTTGTTCGCAGCTGAGATGGAGAAGCACCTGCGGCTCTTCGCGGAGCTCCTGCCTGACTGGGTGGGCATCCACACCATCAGGACAGACACCTACATCAAGCTGGACAAAGAGAAGGACCTTGGCCTCATCACTGAGAGGCTCACCAAGGCGGCGAAGGAGGCGGAAGCCCTCTGAGCCCCCTAGGGATCGAGGTTTGCCCTGTGCAATCTCCTCTAAATGTAGAAATCCCGACTGCACTCTGAGTTCTGGTGTGGGCTGATGGGAGGCTTATCCTTAGGGGTGTCTGAGGAAAGGCAGAATGCCTTAATTTTTTTTTAAGATATCCTAGGGTGGGACCCATGAGGGCTGTAGCTCCCCTAATCCTCAAGCAATCCTACATCCTGGGGTGACAATGCAAGCGATGAAAATGAGCTGAGGAACCTCTTCTTGGCTTTCCTGTGTTCTACTGAAGTTTTAATGCAGGATGTTTCTCCTGAAGATCTAATTTTTGAGGTCTCTTCCATGAACTGGGTCCTGGTGGGGTGAAGGCAGGACGGGGCAGGGTGAGGTGAGAGGGTGACAGGCAGGAAGGAGTGAGAGAGAAAGTCACAAATCGACATTCTTGGAGCTTTGGGCCTTGTTCTGTTTTTAAGGGAGGGAAAACGCATCTTCCAGCCGTCACTGGAAACAACTACAGGACTTGTCAAAACATATTTGTATTAAATGTTTTAAATATAGCTGACTTGTGTTAACCCGGCACTCTTCCTCCATGAGCTGCCTGTCTCGTGGTTCTCCATGGCAATTGGCACCGGGAAGGGCTGGGTCCTCATCCAGCTCCTGGAGAAAGACTTACTGGAAAAAGTGAGCGTGGGTTTGCAGGGAGCTGAAAGCAGCTTTTGTAAATGGGGACGGGGGAGCAGCTCCTGCAGGGATGGGAGCAGGCAGGGCTGGGATGTGCGGGGGGGGCCTTTTTCCCAGAGGAAAGACCAGGCCACTCGGCTGAAGTGGCTTGGGAAGAGGGACAGAGAGGGTGAGGATTGCTCAGAGGTGCTGGGCTGGCGCAGTGCCCGGGTCAGGGCAGTGTGGGTGCAGGGGAGGAGGTGGGAGCTGCCCAGTGCCACGTCAGACACACCTCACACTGCTTCCTGAGCCAAACTGGGCTGGTTGGAGCAGGAGCCATCAAGGACTTGCAGAGAAAGGTGACTCTCCTTCATCCCTTCACCCTATGCTGGTCCTGGCCAGATTTCCTACCTGAAGTGCCAGATTAAAGTCAGGCAGCATCAGAGATCCTACAGCACTTCTTCCCAAGGGAGCAGGCAGATCTTCCTCCTCTTTGTCTTCCTCCAGGCCCCTGCTTGCTGTGTGCAGCCCAGTTGGCAGGCACTGCTGGCAGGAGGTTGCCCAGTTTCCAGGGAGGAGGAGGGTTTAAACCCAGCCCAGGAACTGGAGAGATACACAGGGCTGGGGTGCAAGGTTGGCAGGCTCTTGGGTGTGAAGCTGGGGGCCTTTGCGGTAGGCTGGGCTATCAGCCATTGCTCAAGGACCTCACCGTGGTGGAAAGAAGCTGGATTCCAGGAGCTGGACTGGAGAGCTGGATTCAGCAGCCTGGCAGCCACCTGTGCACCCCAGGAGAGCTCAGAGCAAGCTCCCATTCTGCTCCTCTTCTCCCACCTGGAAGCCACCCCTGCACAGCCTTGTCTCTCCAAGCAAATGACATCAGGGGCTGCTGGCAACCCAAAGGCACTGTCCCCACGTTCCCTGATGTCACCTCCTGGCCCCGTGCGCAGCCAGCGCTGGCACTGGCAGGGCTGACGCTGCTTCCCCGGCACGCAGCTGCTTTCCATGGCTCTCTGGGGTGGAACTGACTTTTCCCTTCTCTCCCCCGCAGCATGGACCCTCTCCTTGTGCCAAGTATGTGAGGTGCTGCCTCCCTTGGCTCCCCACAAGGGCTGGCTGTGAAAGAAGTGCCCTGGGATAGGGTGATCCCAAGGGAACGGTGGTTCTCAGCGTAAACTGAGCAGCACTGAAGTGGCTTTTCAGGAAATGGGGATAAAAATAGCTGGAATAGTCCTAACAAGTGTTAAGGGCTGGGTGTGAGGTGGCCCCGTGCACTGGATGGAAAAAGGGGAGCTGAGCTGGGGGGGCTTGGTCTGCCTCCCTCCAGCCATTGGTTGTGCAAGGTCTAGAGAAAAGGTACCTGAACTCCCAGGAAAAAAGCTCCTTCCAAGCGTTGGGAGCTCACACCACAGCCTTGCTGAACTGGGTTTGGAGGAAGATGCTCACAAGGGTCATTAACGGCTTCAGCTACTGCAAGAACAGCTCTGAGACAGTTTAGAAAACATAAAAATAAATCAATGTTTATTTTACCCGTGAGTCCAGTCCCTGCTGGGACAGAGACAGTCCCTGATGTTTTCAGGCATGTGGAAGTTTTGGCACAACAAGTTTTAGCTGTGACCACACTGAACTGTGCTGGAGGAAGCATCTCCAAACCTCATCATCCATCGCACACCTGAGACCACTGAACACCTTTGCTGTGGCCTTATCTGACACCAAACTACTACCCAGAGCAGGTTCTGAACTTGCATTAGCCTTTCAACATCCTGATGCCCCAAGACACCACAGCAGAGGGAAATTAACACAGGGAGTCGGGTATGGTGCAGAAAATTGGGAATTTGTGCTGAACAAGAGCTGCCTGTGGTCTCCAGGGAAGGAAAACATGGTGATTGAGCTCATCTACACCAGCAACATCCTGATTTAAGGACACAGCAGGCACTTAGTTCCCCTTGACAAGCACAACTTCTTCTGGTGTGAGCAACAGCACAGAGCAACCAGACCATCCCCCAGGATTTATCCCTGAGAGAAATAACCATTTTTTGCCCGTCTCTTGTGTTCCTTTGGCAATTTTTTAGCAGGTTCCTTGGAGGCTGACAGGCACAGCTCAACCCCCAGTGAATGCTGGTGCCCTGCCAGAGCTCTCCTGCTCTACAGTAGCATTGTCACTTTGCTCTCCTAAAAAGCTGCATCTTGGTCTCCATCCCCTCCCAATCAATCAGGCTGTTCCTTCTTCCCAAAAGGATGAACTCCAAAAGGCTCATTACACTCACCACACTGCTTGGAAAAGAAATAGGATTTAGGACTGAATAGCATCTGGTCGTGATCAAAATGTGTGTTTCCCCCCTGCCCACCCCCTTGTGACTCAGAATTACTGGATAAAGCCCCAAATTTGTTCCCAGTGTTCCCTCCTCCCTGCTCCTCCTCAGTCATACTGCAGCAGTGAGTAGAAAGGGATGGAACTGAGCTTCTCCAACCCTTTCAGGGGTTTTAACTCTATGACCACCAGGCACTCCAGGATTTCAGCCTTCAGCCTCTTCAGCAGCTCATAGGCTGCACACATGGTACCTGTGGAGGGGGAGAGAAACATACTCACTCCAGGAGCAGCTTCTAACCCCATGGCCACTCCTGCTGCTGCCAACAGGTTGCCCAGAGAGGTTGTGGATGCCCCTGGAGGTTTTCAAGGCCAGGTTGGAGCAACCTGGTCTAGTGGAAGGTGTCCCTGTCCCTGGCAGGGGGTGGAATGAGATGAGCTTTAAGCTCTCTTCCAACCCGACCCCTTCCATGATTCTATGAACACACATTGGCACATGGGTCACACGAGCTTCTCTCACCTCCAGTCGCCAGCAAATCATCCACTATAACCACTTTCTGTCCCGGTTCAACGGCATCAGTCTGGATTTCCAGTTCGGCCTGCAGGGTGGAAAGAGCAGCTTCGTTTTAGTTTGGCCTTAGAGAGAAGCTCTTCATCAGCTGCTGGTTCCACACATGGTAGAACAGAGACAAGTCCTCAGCAGGATCAACCTAAACACCCAGCACCAAAAATCCCAAATAACTCATATTCCAGCTACAGGGGAGCACCATGGAAACACAGAGCAGGGAGGGGATTGCTGGGCCAACCCTCTGGCACGTCAAGATCCTGAACATTCATCATGTGAGTTATTGTGGAATTTTATCCCAGAGCAGTTCTCCAGTGAGGAAAATCTCCTGTAATGCACTGGAGAGCTCTGCCTAAGCCAGATCCAAAGCAGCACCGGCACGTCCTGTGTCAGCTGAGCTTGTCCCAGGCAGGGGTTGGCCCAAACGGTCCCCATGGTAAGGCCTGGGTTTGGGGGTTCTGCTACCATTAGTTACTAGTGGCGGTTGCACATTATTAGGCTCAAAGCTCAGCTCTGAATGCGGAGTAGCCACGGGGTTATGGAGCAGGACTTGGGAAGCCAAGCGGGAAGGCACTGACTTAGAGCACTTACTGGCAGAGTGGGAAACACTCTCCGTGGTCATGCCCCTGAATTCAAGCCAAAGAAAGCGATTTAGCATCAAGTCTTAGCACCAACCCCCCAAAAAAATCACAGCACAGCATCAAAAACCACTCGCTGGCATGAACCATGTGTCTGTGGCTCAGGGACGGAGCAGCTCAGAGCCATTCCTGAAGGTTGGGCAGACTGTCCATGGCATCAGAAACTCAGTTTGGGTCCACTCCGCTGGTTTTATCACCTATCCCCTCACTGACACCCCCAACCCTGCCCCAGACTCCCCTGCCCTTCCCAGGCGTTACCTTGCCATATTCCAGGGCATAGGACACAGACTCGGTGGGACCGGGAAGTTTCCCCTTTTTCCGTATGGGCACAAAGCCAATCCCCAGCCTCTGGGCCAGAGGGGGCCCAATGAGAAATCCACGGGAATCCAGGCCTGGGGGGAGCAGAGCACAGGAATCATGGAATTGTTTGGGTTGGAAAAGGCCTCTGAGACCATCAGATTCAATCATTCTGCCAGCCTGGCCAAGGCCACCACTAACCATGTCCCCAGGTGCCACATCCACATGTTTCTTGAACACTTCCAGGCACGGTGACTCCACAGCTGCCCGGGGCAGCCCATTCCAATACCTGACCACCCTTTCAGTGAAGAAATTTTCCCTGATATCCAACCTAAACCTCCCTTGAAGCTTCTTCCTCTTGTCCCATTGCTCAGATTGGAGCCATTTGACTGGGGGAGGGTCTTTGCATACCTTCATTTTATCCTCCCATTCAAGGGGGTTTCTAGAAGCAATTTGCTCTTACAGTCCCTTCTGAGGGTTGAAAACACACCACACTCCTGTGCTTGCCCAGATGTGCTTCTGAGGGACTCCAGGGCTCCACAGGGAGCCCCATCAGCACATTTCCCTCCCTTCTGGCTCTTTTCCTTAGAGATAAGCTCAGCAGAGCCTCAGTATCAGTTTGGCCACACAATCAGACTTTGCACCTCTGGGCACAGACTTCACTTATCACAAGACACCTGGCCCAGGTCTGGTCTGTGCTCCCTGACCCTTGGGCTATCGCCCAGCCCAAGCTCTGCCTTCCTCAGCACTTTCCCAGGTGTGCTGCAAGGTCTTATCATTGCCACAAAGGCTGTTTGTGTTGGCCTGAAAAGGCTTCTGAGAAGGAAAACAAGCTGGAACAGGGTCTGCCTGGAACAGGGACTAGGCGTGGCAGGCTTTCTGTATTCCCTCTTTTTTAACAATGGAAGCAACGAACTATGAAACTGGCACTGAAGTATCATCAGATGGCACCTTCAACATCCAAACCAGTATTTCAGGAAATTACAGGATGAGGTTAAGGGTATAACCTGTCCTGGTGTTACCACATGACAGAGACCAATGTTCAGGTGATTCTCATGTCCGGGGGCCACAGAATTCCAGATGGGTCACCCCATGCTTCCCACCTGGGACATGCTGCTCTGCCCTGGCCTCAGGCATGTTTAACCAACACTTACCCACAATGAAGTCAATTTTGGGGAATGATGCCCTCACATGATCCTCCAGAAGATCAATCAAAGTCCTGAATGCCACAGGATCCTTCAGCAAGGGGCTGATATCGCTGCAATGAAGGAGGGCAGGGAGTGAGTGACCTCCGGGGGCTGTTCAGGCTCCACTGAGCTCCGGAGCGCAGGGAAGGGTCCTGGTACTGCCAGCTGCAGGGATGGGCACTGGGGAGAGGAGCTGGCAGTGAGTCCCCGGCCCAGCTCCGTCCCCGGCCCGGCTCCATCCCCGGTCCCATTCCCATGCCCTGTCCTTGTTCCTTTCCAGGTCCTGGCTCCATCCCCAGTCCCAATCCTATTGCCATCTCCGGCCCTGGTCCCATCCCCGGGCTCGGCCCCAGTTTTGGTTCCGGCCCCAGCCCCGGCCCTGGTTCTGATCCCGGTCCCAGTCCGGTCCCATTCCCATCCCGATCCCATTCCCCAGTCCCATCCCCATCCCACTCCCCGTCTCCACCCCCATCCCTGGTCCCATCCCTGGTCTGGCCCCATTCCCATCCCCAGTTCCGTCTCCATCCTCATCCCCATCCCATCCCATCCCGCCCCACCGGAACAGCACGCCGGGCACGGGGAAGTCCGGGAAGGACCGGACGCGGTCGCGGACCCGCCGCAGCCGCTCGTCGCTCATGGCGGCCCCGCCGTGCGCAGCCGCCGCGGCCCCGGCACGGCCGGGCGGGGCAGAGGCGGCGGGGGCGGCTCCGCCCGCCCCGGGGCGGCCCCGCCGAGCGGCGGGGACGGGCTCGGCGCCGGGAGCGCGCGGCACGGGCAGCCCGGGGCGGGGAGCGGCGGTACCCCGGGGCACGGAGCATCAGCCCCATGGGTGCGTGGAGCTCCGGTACCCCGGGGCCATGGAGCATCAGCTCCCCGGTTCGTGGAGCTCCAGTGCACTGGGGCATGGAGCATCAATCCCCTCAGTGCATGGAGCTCCGGCAGCCTGGGGTACGGAGCCCCAACCCCCTGGTGCATTGAGCTCTGGGACTCTGGGCTATGGAGCCCAGATTCCCCAGTGCACAAAAAACTCTGGTACCCTGGAGCATATCGAGCATCGGTTGCCCCAGTACATGGAGGTCTGGTACCCCAGAGCATGGAGCCCTGACCCCCCAGTGCGTGGAGCTCCAGCAGCCTGAGTACAGGTACACAAAACTGTCACTTTTGGTCATGGAGTCCCAACACCCATGGAGCCCCAGTCTCCCTCTGAAGAGTGCTCAGGTACCTGCATGGTACCTGGTGGAGCAGTATTTCCCCAGGACACAGAGCCCTGGGACCCTGCCTTCTCCCTAGTGCGCTTTGGAAAGGAGCCCCATGCCCAGGGGTTACACTTCCAGCCCCCCTCCCCCTGCCCCGCCTTGCAGCGACAGCAAGCTCCACAGGACTTCACTATTTGCTGCTTTTCTGTCGCTCTCACCTCGTGTGACCTCTTGGAATCGTATTCTGTGTTTGTTAAAACCGTTGGTTGGGATGACACCCACGGGGGTGATAACACAGCCCTGGGTCCTGGAGCAACAGCTCCTGGTGTCACTGACTCCTGGGGCAGGTCAGGGAGATCTCCCAGCTCCCATCTCCCGATTGTGGCTGTTGTTTGGGCATGCAAAATCCACTGAATGAGGACAGATCTCCTCTTACATTAGCAAATAAGCCTTGGATCTGGTCCAAATCCATCTGGGCACAGTTCACTGCAGAAAGCAGAAGCAGTTTGAGCCTGCAACACCCCTGGCCAAGCTCAGGGTTTGCTGCTGAAAGCTGTGATGGGGAAACCTTCACCCCACACTCCCCAGACACCCCCTGCCATGGGCAGGGATGCCTTCCAGTAGAGCAGGTTGCTCCAAGCCCTGTCCAGCCTGGCCTTGAACACTTTCAGAGATGGGGCAGACACAATTTCTTTAGGGAACCTGTGCCAGGGCCTCACCACCCTCACATGGAATACACACCTTCCTAATATCCCATCTAACCCTGCCCTCTGGCAGTGGGAAGTCATTCCCCTTTGTTTTGTCACTCCAGGCCCTTGTCCCAAGTCTCTTTCCAACTCTCTTGAAGCCCCTTTAGGCACTGGAAGGGGCTCTAAGTTTTCCTTGAGCCTTCTCTTCCCCAGGCTGAACAATCCCAACTCCTGTTAAGTCCTCTGCTGCCAGAGACAGTCCGTGCTCCCTTCACAACCATTCCCTCACAGACTAAGATTTTCCCTGAACTCAGATTATCTCTTTGGCACCAGAAAAATCCTCTCAGGCAGCTGTTCCAGTGAAGCAAACACGGAGGAAGCACAAAGCTTTCCAATGGAACAGGGGCTCTGCAACACCCTCACTCCCTGGGATAAGCTGGATGGGTTTCTCTTGTGATCTTACCAACTGCAACACAGGACAATGAGCTATTCCAGCACCTCCTCTTCTTCCTGGCAGATGGAAGTGATGATGGAATTTATCTGCCTACTTGCAGAAATAAGCAGGAGCTTATTTCCTGGGAAAAGGGCTCTTTTGCATCCTGCCAGGCAGCCCTGCTTCTCCCCTTACTAATGGAGGAGCATAACGCGGGGTCTATGTCACCCCTGTCTTGTTTGGATCCCCATTACCAGCAGGAGACTCCACTACATTTTCCTTGAGGCTGAGTGAGGTTCCCAGGCCCCTCATCCCAACCAATCCCTGGGGAAACAGCAGCTTCCACCAGGACGAGCTGCTGAGTGCTCCCACTGCTCCCTTCACATCCCACAGCTGGAGGATCTCTCCTCTCTCTGTCACCATCAGTTCTGCCAGGAAGGGCATAAAAGTTATACCAAGTCAGACTTCCAGTGGTTCAGCTGCCAGAAAACATGCCACATGTTTAAAAAACAACATTCCTGAAATCTCTGTCAGAATTTCTCCTCATTTACCCTCCATTCCAAAGGATATGACCTGCGCCTACCGGCACAGATTGTAACATCACAAGAAAATCAGTTTTCCCTGTAATTGTCCAACCTTTCAAACAACAGTGCTGACTCCTACTGCAATTTCCATCTGAAAAAAGAACTTTCCTAGGACCCCTTTCCAAATGTGATGTCAAAGGGCTCTGGAATATCACTCTGGAGATGACTCTCGACATCCGGCTGTGGCTCAAGAGATCCAGGGCTGATCTGTGCCTGGCAGAGGAACCACCACCTGGGATCTGGACCCACCCCCCAGGATACTGTAGCTGGTTTTGCCAATTTTTTGGACACAGAAGCACAATTAAAAGTGTTTTGAGATCCTGATAGGAGAGATGTTATTAGCCAGGGAACACAGAAACTGGGAATATAAAAGCTTGGGAACTAGCTCTAATCTGCTTAACCAGGCAATTAGAAGAGCTGTGCTGAGTCTGGAAGTTTCTGTTCCATTCAGGATTTTAAAGCTTCAGTGTGAAGTGGAACAAAATGCCCCAAATTTCAACATACCCCTTCCACCAGGGGAAACAAGAACTGAAATTTCCTTGCAAATCTGCTGGAATGTTTCGCTTCAGTTTCAGCTGAGGAAATGCACTTTAAACCCATTAAAAAAAAAAAAAAAAACACACACACAAATTTGAAATATCTTATTTCAACAGCAGAAGAATGCAGCTCCCCAGCCAGATCCCTGCAATTGGGATAGAAGCATTGGAGCTGGTTTTGTGCCCCCCTAAAAGAGGGGAAAGTGTCAATCCAGCTCTGCCTCCCACAGAGCCCAAGCCAGCACCTCCTGCCCACTGCATCAGGCCCTTGGAGAAGGCACAAAACTCCTCTCCCTCCTCTGGCCAGCCTGGATTTTGTGTCTGCTCCAGAACTAATGGATTTGGCACACATTCCTTGCTGCCGGCTTTTATCTGCTCTCCCTTTCAGATGGGAATTGTGCTACCAAGCTCCTATCACCCAGAAGGGTGTTAAGTGACTCCAAGAGGGACAAAGGCTCAGAATGCTGCCAGATTGCCTCTCTCCAGAAGCTGGAAGGCAGAGTTTTTCCTCCCGCCTAAAAGACCACAAGCTTTTGGCTACTGATCCACCTTTATTTGGGATTTATATAATCACAACTAGACTTTGAGCAACAACAAAACTTTGAACGGTGGAAGGGGATATAAAGAAAACAGGCAAATGGAGTCTGGGTTTTTAAAATAGCCATTTTCCAAAGGAAAAAAGAACCTAAAATGGGATTTCAGTCCTTCCCTTACAACTGTTCTTAAAATCTGACAGTTTAATTCAAGAGGCACCACAGTGTTGCCCTCTGATAACATACAAAACCATCCAATACTATCAGAAAACAAAAGGAAAAGTCCATTTCCAAGTATTATAACTGTAAAGAGAGATGGAAAACAAGCCATTTTAACTGCAAAACAGTTATTTGGAAGCTGGACAAGCAAAGTAGCTCTTAAGACAGTAAAAGTGTGTTTCTTTTGTAAAGTTTCCCAGTGCTGAGGACAAGAGCAGGATCCCTGGGGAGGGATTTCTCATCTGGCTGTGCTCAGGAGGCTGCTGGAAACTCTGCAGACAAAACCCACCTCCCAGCACCCCCAAACTTGCCTCCCCCCCAAACTCCATTTAATTCTCACCTTCCAAAGGTCTTTGTTCAGCTGCTGGAATGATTTCATGTGGTTATTTCAAATAAAAGTGGGAAGAGTGGTCTCCAACCTTCAGGAGATCCTCGTCTCATCCTCTTTATGTGAAATCAGGAATTTTTGGGAGCTGTCCATGATGTTCGGGAAAGGCTCAGTGTGGCAGGTATGAGAACTGCCAGCTTCCATTACTGTCCCAAGTCCAAAACCCTCCTTCCCAGAGATGTTAGGTCTAGTTCTTTTATTCAAATCCCACTGTCATCCTCAGCGCTCACCCAAAAACTCAGTCCCCAGGTTTTATTAACAAATCTGTGGGTCTCGCTCACTCTCCTTGTTCCAACCTTCCCCATTTTCCCTTTAATTCCATATTCCCAAGCTTCCCATTTGACACGTTATCCTTCATCGCTGCACTCAATAGTTTGCAGGGCATTAACCTTGGCTCCAAGTGTTCGGAATTGATCTGCTGCTTTCCAGTTCCAGCGCTCAGCTCCCCAAATTGTCGGTCCCCAGAGACTAATTTGCCACCGAAATAATCCATTTGTCGCCGCAGGCTTTGAAATCAAGGCTCCACTTTTGCAGGCAGAGGCTGTAAATGCAGCCGGAGTTTTTCCACGATTATTAGTTCCATCCATTTCGGAAGCTTCTCCGCACAGAGGGTCGGATGATAACACAGCCTCAGGGGCAGAGCGGGGAGGCTCGAGAGGCTCAGCTAATTGGAAATTAAAGGCAAGAAAGAAATTCCTTGGACTCTTAGCCCAAGTAGATATTCAGCTTTTAGCATTTAGCATAATAAATATAAAGAAAGGAACATCACAGCATTAAACATCATCATTCCTTTAGCATTTATGTCTTGTAGCTTGAGCAAAGAAGCCACCAACAGACCAGTTTGGCTGCTGCAGGTCCCCGAGTGGGCTGTGAACCCCACCAGACCCACTCCTGGCCCAGTATGGGCAGTTCCCAAACTGGGCAGCTTCAGACCAGAGGCTCAGGGTCATTATTAAGGGCAGATGTGGCCACTTCCTGCTCCAAGGTGCATTTTGGAGGCTGCAGGCATCATCCTCACCCCCGGTCCTGGTCCCCCTCCAGCCCCTGAACTGCTCCTGGGCAGCTCTGTGGGCTGGGA